CAGAACTGCCTAGAGCTCTGGAAACAGCTTAATTGAGTATTGTTATTCCTTATTCCAATTGAATAGCCAAGTTACCTGTCCTATAGTTACTGTTAATATAGAGGCCTTCAGCCAAACGGAACTGGGTGTTGTTTGCTCCATTACACAAAACTCACAAAACTCACCTTCAAAAGATTCAAACTTCTGTATTAGGAAATGGCACTCCTCGACAATTTTGTCTTCTATGGTCTTCTTGCCCATTCCGTAGTCCCTCAACGTGGTTATCGCAAACCGTCTCATCACTTTCCAGTTCTCACCATTAGAAGAAACAATGCCTGGAGAGAAATATATGTATCTAATTTTATACTGATATGCAGAACAGGAGTTTGTTCCTAACTGGTCCCAGTCACACGAGCGAGATAATCCAGGGGCGAAGCGAGGCTTTGTGCTCCGGAGCAAAATGAAGCGGGGTATCGTGATCAGATGTTCCCCCCGAGGTTCCATGTTCAGGCTGTCAGCCACGATCACACGTTGATGGTGAAGCATGGCAAAGAAGGGCGAGGCAGTTCAGCAGTACCGCATTTGTTTGCGCGCATACCACTGGATGCGATGGGATACCAGCGCTTCTGCGATTGGATGCCTGCCCGCACCCCACGTTTTCTGGAAAATAGTGCACTTTCCCTGGTATCTTTTAACTCCGCTTCTTTGGCTGGGTGATACGGGTTGCTGACGGGTGTGGGACATTTGCCAGATGTTTTCGTGTGATCACACCCTTAAAATCTGCCCGGCATTCGTCCCTATCGTGCGGCTAATTCTGTGTGTGACCGGGACCACTGTTTGGCACTTGTATCATAGAAGACTCTTCAGCCTGGTTGGAGAAGCTAAAACAATAATCTACTAATGGGGACTACTATCGGGAATGGCGGGCAAGAGAGAGATAAGTTCCTCGTTTCATTGCAAAACGTTTTCAGCAATGAGCAAAAGCAGGACAGAAATACGGGAAAGAAATAAAATGTTTACTGGGTCCCACTGTTTGTCTCTGAGGACTGAGCCATATAACCAGGCATGTTTCTAGGTCACCCAGAAGGAGAGGGGAAGAAAAACTAAACCAACCAAGGAAAAACTTCCAAAGGAAGTTTAGAAAACTAGTTAACGGCCAAAAGGTTAAAACATCAATAGATATAGACAAAAGTACACGTGTTTATTTCAGAAACATATAAAAACCTTGTAAGAGCCCAAATAAAGCCTTGTAAAATGTTCAAAGTGACAAATGGACAAAAAAAGAACAATCTATGACCTGACACATTTCGACTCACAATAGTCTTCTTCAGAGGTCAAATAGTACAGAATACAAAATACGCCATGCAACAAAGTCCCTGTTACATTTGTAAAGCAGTAAACAATTAATATAGGACCCAAAATGGAAAGCTACATGGGGAAATACATGTATTAGGTTAGTATTTAATTACCCAATTGAAAATTCCATCCAATATTAAAAATGCATACTTTACTATACCCTGATTTAATATAAAAGCTGCGGTGGCTCAAGTGGTGACACACTTCCGGTAATGTCAGGGGGTGTGGCCTTATGACACACTTCCGGTGATGTCAGGGGGTGTGGCCTCATGACACACTTCCGGTGATTTCAGGGGGTGTGGCATATGCTAATGAGTTATGCTAATGAGCTCCGGCAGTTCTTTTTCTACAAAAAGACCTCAATTCAGGCCCTAATTCCATGACACACTGCTGAAGATTTAAAAAACAGGAATGTTTCATCATATGGAGAAAGTGAAAGAGCTGTATCCGGGAAGTCCTCATATGATGAAGGTATGAATCCACGGCCACTGTTGCTTGTGCCAACCCTTTCCCCTCTGTTGTTTCCATGATCTCAATTTCTCTGGGCTGTTCTTTGCCTTCGGGGTTGGGTGGGGGGGGGACATAAGTGCTTGTATCTAAACAGTTTAAGCCAGCCCAGTTCTATACCTAGGGAAACCCCAGTCTGCATCTCTCCCAGGATAATGTTGGGCACAGACTCTCCATGGCTGTAAGTCCTATGTAGGCCCCGGTCACACGGGCCAGATAACGCCGGGAGGAGGCATGGCTTTTTGTGCCAGCGCAATTTAACGCACCAGAACGCGATCAGATGCCACAGCAGCAAAGTGGGGTTTTGTTTGTCGGTGGGTGTTTTCGGTGTGCGGCAAGAGCGCGCTTGAGCGATCACACGTAGGTATTCCGTCGACGGCCGTAGCAAACTGTTTGCTAGTAGGCTTTCCCGGGTATTTTTAAACTCCGGATCTTCGGGCGGATGCTATGGGTCAGCAATGGGTGTACTATGCTTGCCAGATGTGTCCTTGTGATTGCCGCCCATATACTCTGCCCGACATTCGTGCCTCTCCCGCCACAACTTCCGCGTGTGAACAGGGCCATAATTAAGCAAGGCTAGCTACTCTTCAGAAGGAATGAACTCACCATGGCCCCGGTGAAAGTCTTCAGACATTGGAGTGATGGGCCTGTCCGCAAAGGCATCTGCCTGGTTCACCAAAGCCTCCTTTACAGTCTTGTAGCCCGCCAGAATAACCATTTTCTGAAATCCCATTTGGATGCTGAAGATGGGGCCGTACTGCTTCGATAACTGAAATGCAATGAAAGGTAAATGAGAAACATACTTCCGATTATCCAGCTAGGGTTGCCAGATGGTGTAAACAGAAATACTAGGCACATTTGGTTAAAATTTGTTGACCAAATATGTGTGCGCACTAGGGGTATACTTGCATTTGGTATACTTGAGCTGAAAATATACTCGGAAAATACCTTATTGGTATTTTGGGGGTATATTCCGGCTTTCTGAATGTACCCGGTTTTTCTCGGGAAAATGGGGGGGGGGAGTCTTGGGAAATCGTGGATATATTCAGCAATTACCAGTATATCAAAACCCAGCAATCTGCTCCCGCCGTTCAGCTTTTTGTTGGGATTCTACTGCAGTCCCTTTAAACTTTAAAGGGACTGCAGGACTGCAGAAGACCGCCTAAGTGTCAGCTGTGTTGGGGGGGGGGCAGACTGTTCCCACCAGCTTAGCTTTTCGCTGGCTTCTCATGCAGCCCAGTTTAAACCAGGCTGCAGGCGAAGCCAGCCCAAGAAGCTGATGTGCCTTAGGGTGTAATCTGCTACCTGCGGCACAGCAGCTCCTGGGGTCAGCATCTCCTGCAGTGCTGTTTAAACTGCACTGCAGGAGAAGTCCTCCCAGCCAAGTCTGTGTGCGACAGGGAGAGAGACTTCCTTGCCACACGCAGATCCTGGGGGCAGCGTATGGAACACAATTGTAAACAGAAATACTAGGCACATTTGGTTAAAATTTGTTGACCAAATATATGTGCGCACTAGGGGGTGTGCATTTGGTATACTTGAGCTGAAAATATACTCGGAAAATACCTTATTGGTATTTTGGGGGTATATTCCGGCTTTCTGAATGTACCCGGTTTTTCTCGGGAAAATGGGGGGGGGGAGTCTTGGGAAATCGTGGATATATTCAGCAATTACCAGTATATCAAAACCCAGCAATCTGCTCCCGCCGTTCAGCTTTTTGTTGGGATTCTACTGCAGTCCCTTTAAACTTTAAAGGGACTGCAGAAGACAGCCTAAGGATCAGCTGTGTTGGGGGGGGGGCAGACTGTTCCCACCAGCTTAGCTTTTCGCTGGCTTCTCATGCAGCCCAGTTTAAACCAGGCTGCAGGCGAAGGCAGCCCAAGAAGCTGATGTGCCTTAGGGTGTAATCTGCTACCTGTGGCACAGCAGCTCCTGGGGTCAGCGTCTCCTGCAGTGCTGTTTAAACCGCACTGTAGGAGAAGCCCGCCCAGCCAAGACTGTGTGCGACAGGGAGAGAGACCTCCCTGCCACACGCAGATCCTGGGGACAGCTTTTCTGTGGCAAAGGTTTTTTTTTTTTTTTAAGGAAGTAGACCTTTATTGGCATGTCAAAAATAAAAAGTACATAAACATTTTTTTTAAGGAAATATATCAAAGTAACAAAGTGATCTTAAGGCCAACCAAAATAAAATAAATCAGTTAATAGCTTCCCTGGTTTGCATTACAGACTGAAGAAAGCAAGCAACATTAGAAGTTATGAGAAAATGGTGTCCAGAAAGTAACCACCACACCTTGAAACTGTCAGTGAGACCACACCATGTACAGAGAAGGGAATTCAGAAATTTTTCTCTGGTCCTAGTATGTAATATATAGTATAATAAAACACAAGAAACGGCTTCAATAGCACCCTGACTACAGGGACATCGTCTAAATTCATAAAGGATTTTTTGACATCTTCCAAAGAAGATGGCCGATGGCAATACATTGAATCTGGTCAGCATGAATGCCCTTCTTTGATGGGGATCAGTTAAAGAACAGAAATGAGGGGCTATCTGGCCAGCTATCAAAGGTAATCCTCAATGAATTGGGGAGCAAGTTTTCCTAGCTGCCTCAGTCAAATGCTGAAATTGGATATCTAACAGCCTGCATGTAATTATCTGAAATGCTGTTGAGGCAAATGATAAATAAAGGGAATCTAAAGGTATACCTATAGACCGAATTTTACTAAGGATTAATTTCGACCACTTAGATTCATGATAATCTGTCAACATTTTAAAAAGTAAAAGAATTCAAATCAGAATTAAATAGGCCTGCAAAATCTCACCCAATCGCGGCGGGGGATCTCCATGTCTTCACAGAATCTTTGCCGCGGGGATGGCTAGATGCGTTGCACCGCCATCACCAGGACATGACGCTATGCATCGCCCTGGCAATGGGGCTGTTTGGAGCCCCGTTGCCAGAGCGACGCGTAGCGTCAGATCCTGGCGATGGCGGGTGCAACGCGTCTCGCTGTCCCCGCGGCAAGGATTCTGTGAAGAGCTACGATCCCCCGCCGCAACTTGGCAACTCTAGAATTAAACAAAAGGTGGAGTCAAAATTTGATCATCAAAAGCCAGGCCTGAGTTTCTAGCAGCATCTGGCTGGTTTCAAGGCAAATCGCAGCGTATGGAACACAGTCAGGAAGACCAAGGATTTTCCATAGAAAAAAGGATTGTAGCCCCTCAGCTGTTTGATTAAATGCACATCCATATAGGATGCTCCATAAAGGAATTGCGGGCTGGATTTTGCATTGAAGGCTTTTAAAGTCATAGGAACGTAGTTATTGCCTCTCAAATAGAAAAAGTGGGTGATGGCAGCAGCACTGTTCTTTGCTAAGATGGAGGCACATTTGCAATGTGTAGCCCAACTCCCATTGTAATAGAAGTGGATCCCCAAGTATTTGAAGTAGAGCCAGT